CCACTTTCTACCTCGGGGTGCTATGATATAAAAACCACTCTCGTTGCCATAGGTCGGAAACTTCCGGGAAGGAACCCTTTGGCCATAAAACATCGGCACCTTTGCTTATTATAGCGCCTCTGCACTCCGCGTGTCGCCCGTCGATCATCCTCGACTTCACATTGAAGGTCTTGAGCCATAAGCCGAAGTGTGGGGTAGTGCGGAGGAAGGCCTACACACAACGATGAACGTTGAGATGTGAAGGAAGGAATCTATGGCTAGATCATGAAAATCTAGCCCGTAATAGAACATGAGCCCTCTAACAAAGGGATGAAGACCAAAGCCTAGCCCTCGGAGGAAGTGGGAGATGAATATGACACTCTCATTGGGTTGTGGAGTAGGGATAACCTGCCCTTGAGCAGGAAGCCTATGAAGGATTTTGGCGGTTAAGTACCTAGCCTCCCTAAGCTTCATGATGTCCTCCTTTATGACAGAAGAGGCCATCCACCGGGCTTGAAGGCTGGATCCGGACATGGTTGGAGGTCCGAAGCGCTTGGACTGAGCCTCGGGTATTGGAATTCGAGGTGGGGGAAGGGAAGGATCAAGCGTGGAAAGAAAAGGACAGGTCTTAACCTCTTTATAAAGGGGATGAATGTCAAGCGTCCTCCGCGCGGCCGTTTGGAACTTGCCTAATCCAAGGAGTCATACTAATGGAGCGGTTGGGTTACCCACGCCCGTATTTATGAGAATCCCGTGATAAGGGGGCACAATCTCTGCCTCGACAAGACGTGCCAATGAAACCGCCTCGCGAAACGCGTAGTGGCAGGTTGGAGAAACGGTTTGAATAATAACCGGGCCACGGCGTGATGTCACGCTATGGACAAGTTGTCAGCAGATTAGACTCGTGGAATATTGTACTCTCTATGGTAGTATGTGGAATTTGTTTTGTAGAGCCGGACACAATTCTTGCGTTCAAGATCTACTTTGGAGTATTCAGAGAAGGAATCCGCCTTGCAATGCCGAAGATAATCTGCACGCCGGACTCATCGTCATTGAAGCCTGGTTCAGGGGCTACTGAGGGAGTCCTGGATTAGGGGGTCCTCGGACAGCCGGACTATATGCTTATGCCGGACTGTTGGACCATGAAGATACAAGATTGAAGACTTCGTCCCGTGTCTGGGTGGGACTCTCCTTTGCGTGGAAGGCAAGCTTGGCAATTCGGATATGTAGATTCCCTTCTCTGTAACCGACTCTATGTAACCCTAGCCCCCTCCGGTGTCTATATAAACCGGAGGGTTTAGTCCGTAGTACATATACAACCATAATCATAGGCTAGCTTCTAGGGTTTAGCCTTTATGATCTCGTGGTAGATCAACTCTTGTAATACTCATATCATCAAGATCAATCAAGCAGGAAGTAGGGTATTACCTCCATAGAGAGGGCCCGAACCTGGGTAAACATCGTGTCCCCCGCCTCCTGTTACCATTAGCCTTAGATGCACAGTTCGGGACCCCCTACCCGAGATCCGTCGGTTTTGACACCGACACCCCCTACCCGAGATCAGCCATTTTTGACACCGATAGTGGGCGCGCCCTGGTGCCTTGTGGGCACCTGATGGGTCCCCTCTGGTATTTCTTTCTTCTAGTATTTTTTATATATTCCAAAATAATTCTCCGTGAAATTTCAGCTCATTTAGAGTTGTGCAAAATATGTATCTCTGATGTAGCTTTTTTAGGTCCAGAATTCCAGCTGCCGGCAATCTCCCTCCTCGTGCAAATCTTGCAAATTAAGAGAGAAAAGGCATTATAATTACACCACAAAGTATTATTTCAATGAAAAATATCATAAATAATCGTAGGAAAACATGATGCAGAATGGACGTATCACGCCACCTCGTCGATGTTCATGCAGCCAGTTTCTTTCTCTGCCAGCATGGCGCGGCTATACGTGTGTCGACGGCGGATGGCGCGGTCGTAGGCACGGGAGCGCGCGGTATGACGCTGCATCGTCGACAGCAGCAACGATGCCCGTGCCGCCGTGCTTCCCGCCATGCCGGCCTGGAGCAACTCGCCACTCCTTCGTGAGTTGGCTTAGAGCAGTGAGTTGCTGAACTACGCGCCGGCTTGGGGCAGCACCTTGCTCTGTCGGGCCAGGCGCGGGCGGTGGAGCAGCGAGCCGTCTCGCTCTTACCCGACAGGCTCGATGGGCCACCCAGCTGGCTTGTAGGCGGGAAAACTGCTCTTCCGGCTCGTCGGATGCCATCGGAAGGGTGGAGAAGGAGAAGATGGGGAGTAGACTTGGTGGTGCGATTCTTGCCCGACGTCTAGCCTCGTTTAGATACAGGGCGGACGAAAGGAGCTTGCCTGGCGTTGCATTTATTGTCGATGTGGAGTGATGATGGCTAGATTATCTCGAGAGGGAGGGGCTTGGAGAATGACCTTTTGATGGTTTCGCGTCTAAGTAGCAATCCGAATTTTGTTCAGAGACAACAACCATTTTTCTCAAAAAGGAAGTACCCCGTACTCTGCATCACATCATACACCCAACCATTTTATTAAACATGAATCAAGTTAAAGTCATTGTGTACTAAACAATAACACAAATAAAAAGGAAACACGATTATAACCTGTCGAAGTCGAGATTACATAGCTCATCCACATCATCTATGAATGGCTCACTAGTCTTGGCCTTCTTCGACTCGGTGGAGGAGTGGTGGGCAAGCACATGCGCCGATGGCACGCCGAACCGCCAAGCCAAGGCCTCCCTCACCATGCTCGTCTCATGGACAATTTGAAACGAGCGTAATGCAAGAGTGTTCAAACATAAAAGTGCTCCACCGCCAATCTTGCTTTCCTCAATCGCCACTGAGGACAACCTTTGGGTCGTCGCCGGTGCAAAGAAGTTAGGGGCTTTTATTTCACGCGAGTAATCCGCATGCCGCGTTTTGGGTTTCTTGTAACAAACTCTTTTCTATCTTAATTAATGGATGAGGCAAAGCTTTTACCTCCATTTCAAAAAAAAAACTGATTGAATAAACAATGCGCAACCATTTCTAGGCTGCTACACCAAAAGGCCATAAGTGCCCAAACGCCCACATGCCGAAATGATGATGGTCACATACAAATTGAATCTGTTGCCCTGTAGATAACCTGTAGGAAATTAGGAGTAGATGATTTGGCAGTTCCACATTGCACAGAAAATGACGCAAACTCCCACACCAACTTAGCCCTTTAGCTTATGGTGAATATCACCCAACCACTTTTCAAACAGATTTGGAATACTTGTTGGCGGTGCTAAAGTTTAATAAATATATAATGCAAATTTTAATTAAAACATTTTTTTATCAAAAATGAAGGTAGAAGATTTGCCTCATTGATTAGTTAAAAACTGAGAAATGAAATTTGATTGCTTACTTAACGAAAAACTGAGAAAACATGATTGTATGCGGACTACTCCCAAAACATGAATCTCGATGACCGCCTGGTAGACGAACAAACTCTCTCCATCCTGCTACAACCGCAAACCCTTAACAAATGGATCATAACAACGTAAAGACGCACCCATTGGAAACACACCGACAAAGACACCAGACATTGGACACGATAACCATCCATGAAGCAGCCACAAACACCCTCTCTCGCTCAACTCTCATTGCTTCTCGTCGATGATGTTTAGCCGTGGAATTAAAATGTTTGATCGTTGAGTAGAGTTCGTGCTTGCTAATCCACGACTAAAGATATTGTTTCCTCCTTTTTACAAGTTTTATTAGTTTACGTGGAATCGCTTTGTCGGACTCTGTTGAATAATTAATAAAGATGTATGTGTGCATCCCCTAATTCAGAGGTCGGGGTAATCCTCCTTAAAAAAGAAAAAGAGCTTATGTGAAAGAGAAATACATATTCAACCCTTCTAAAGTAAAATAAAATAAAAAAGCCTGGCATCACCATTTGATTCATCTTGTTTATTGTTCAGAACAAAACGGAAGGGTGAGAGACGTGGGAAGCACAAATATCACGACCTGAAAATGCGTCAGCATTTTTTCAGGGAAAAAATGGCATGTGCATGCACGCGTGCTGGTCAAAACGAGTGCGTCCATGAAAAATGCCGATTTTGTTTCGTCGAGTCAATCGAGAACGATTCCACATGCTTTCTTCACGCATTCGGTATCCAACCATTCTCCCTTCCTCCTACGAAGAGAAACAATTTCCCAAGGGAAAATGGAAGAGACGAGATGCGTTTTTTCTTGTAAGGAAGAGCAAAACAAAAGGCGCGATCGCTTCTTGGGGGCCGAGATAGATACGATCATACGACGACGCAGTTTGTGAGGCATGTGGGCAGAGAAATGCGCAAACAGCAGCTTACCGTGCAAGCCACTGTCTCCACACCACTGGCCGTGCTGCCGTTGCATCCGTAAACTTTGCAAGTGCCCGGAGAAAGCAGGGCTTGGGCTCGCGCCAAATAATAACACGGTTAGGTTAGGTTAGGGTTGGGTTCGCCATGTGCGTGATCCCCCAAATTCGGCCACCGCCGAACACCCGCGATGGACGCAATAATCAGACAGGAGAGTTTGTGCATAATAATTAAACTAAACCAGTCCTACTTAAACTAAACAGAGCTCATCAGCACCGTCTCTGTCAGCTCATCTCACCGGCTGCGCTTCTGTCTTGCTGAATCGAACCTAGCTGTTATTATTCCTTCCCAAGGTGGCAGCTCAGCTCACCCCTCGCCCTCCTCTTAACTCCCGTCTCTCTCCTCTCCCTCTCTCTCCAAGCCTACCGTTTTCCTTGCCCCGTAAAGCTGAAAACTCCTCCAAGCCCAAGAAAAAAGCCACCTTTATCTCCTCCCTTCCCTTGCCGGCTCCCTCCGGTCCGGACGGTGGTGGTGCTGGGCTACTGGGCTCTGCCTCTTCTTGAGGCGCTTCTCCGGCGCATTTGCTGGCCCGGCTCGGGGGCTCTCGGAGCCCAGCGGCTGTGGGAGCGGTTGGCGGCGGAGGGGCGTCGATCTCGGCCGGATCTCGGCGAATGCCCGCCGCGGCGCGCTCCGGTGGACCGGGGCAGGTGCGTGCGTTTCGCGGATCCAGCCTTTTCTTGCTTGTGTTCTTCATTTCACGAGCGTGCTGTTCTTGTCGGCGTTCCCCAGTACTGTTGCTGTTTCTCATTTCTTACTTTTTTCCCCTCCGGATTAATAGCGGGACGGTTTTATTGTTCATTTTTAGTCCAGGAACCAGAAATCAATAATAGTGCTGCTCTTTTTGCCCCGATTTGAAGTTGGCCATGGAAATGACTTCAACCTCGATAGAATGCAAGATGTAATCTCGTAGTCGTAGTAGGTAAAAAGGAAGATATTATGGAACAGAAACTCTGGATATTCACATATTCTCATTATTTTATACTAGTGGTATATATAAACAATACTCCGTACAATAAATTCGGCGCTCGTTGCCAACCTCAACTAGGCACGGTGGTCTGGTCCATGCCTTCTCCCAACTCTCGCGCCGTCATATTCTCCCAAATCGGCGCCGCCGGGCACTTACTCCCAGTCATGGCAAGGGGCCGCCGAGCACACCTCTAGGCCACCATCCAGCTCTACTCCCCTTTCTGCTGCATTGGGCCGGAGGGGAGATCCCAGTCCCACCAGGACTGATTTCTACTCCTACTTGGTAAGGAGTCCCCAGCTTGCTTGGCTAGTTCTAGTTTAGCAAATAAATCCAGTTCTTTGTCCTGGGAAGTGTGAAGAACGCGTCCATAGTCAGGATTCGGTTTGCCTTTTTATTGCTTCATCCTGATCTCAGTGGGGATCCTACGGTCTGATCCCATGGGCCAGGACTAGTTCGGTTCGGGATGCGAGTCCATACCTCTGTTGCTGCTGTTCTGTATATCTGATGTTCTTGCCTAATTGCCTTACTATCAGTTATACGGAGTACGTACATGCCAGTGTTCTTGCTTTACTAATTTCTGCATGTTTCTACATCCAGCTTTTATCAGCTTATTAGAGGATAATAGCTTGAAATTGTACATGACCTCAAACATTTTGCACTCTTTTTTTGTCATTCAGGCCAACATTATGATGGGGAGGAGGAAGTTGCAAGCAGTGACCTTGGCGATCTTGTGTTTCTGGTCATCTGCTGGGGCACAAACAGTGGATTTCAAGCCTGCCGACAACTACCTGGTTGACTGTGGGTCTGCCAAGGGCACGACGGTTCTCGGGAGGGACTTCGCTGCCGATGGGGCATCTCCGGTGACAGTGTCAACCTCCCAAGATATTCTTGCCGGCACCTCGGCCAACGGGGTGTCCTCGTTTGACAACCCGCTGCTTTACCAGACCGCCCGCATCTTCACGAGCCCGTCATCCTATACTTTTCCTATCCAGAAGCAGGGGCGGCATTTTGTTCGTCTCTACTTCTTCCCCTTCATCTACCAGAGTTATGATCTCTCCACCGCCAAGTTCACTGTGTCGACCCAAGATGTGCTCCTGCTCAGTGATTTCCAGCAGCCGGACAAAACTGCGCCGCTGTTCAAGGAATACTCTTTGAACATCACCCGTGACCAGCTTGTCATTTCCTTCAAGCCGTCAAACGGGATTGCATTCATCAACGCAATTGAAGTGGTTTCTGTTCCAGATGATCTCATAGCTGATGTAGCCAATATGGTCAACCCTGTGCAGCAGTACAGCGGTTTGACTACACAGTCACTGGAGACGGTGTATCGTGTCAACATGGGTGGTCCGAAGGTCTTCCCGAGCAATGATACCCTCTCGAGGACTTGGCAGAAGGATCAGAAGTACATACTGAACCCCAGTGTGACCAAAACTGCCCAATATGGCAAGCCTATCAAGTATAGGAAAGGCGGGGCAACTCCACTGACGGCCCCAGATATTGTGTACAGTACAGCTACAGAATTGGCGGCTGCAAACACTTCCAACGCACTTTTCAACATGACATGGCAGTTTGATGTGGATGCAGGCTTCAGCTATCTGATAAGATTTCACTTCTGTGATATAGTCAGCAAGGCACTGAACCAGCTCTACTTCAATGCATATGTGGGAGGCTTCTTTGCACAGCATGATCTTGATCTCTCAGAGCAATCGGTGAATCAACTGGCTACAGCTATCTATGTTGACGTGGTTCTTTCTTCCAATGATGCATCTAGCAAGCTCAGCATCAGTATTGGTCCGTCCACCTTGAACAATGCATTGCCTGATGGGATTCTGAATGGCCTGGAGATTATGAAGATGGGCAGTGGCTCTGGTTCTGCTTTCACTGTTGGGAATAACGGTTCAAACAAAAGGTTGCCCATAATTATTGGCTCAGTCCTTGGGGTTGTTGGGCTTCTGATAATTGTCCTTGTTGTGGTACTGCTTTGCCGGAGGAAGAAGACCGACGACAAGCAGCACTCGAAGACCTGGATGCCTTTCTCTATCAATGGGCTCACGTCTCTCAGTACAGGAAGCAGAACTTCCTATGGTACTACACTAACATCAGGTCTGAATGGAAGCTATGGATATCGGTTTGCCTTCAATGTGCTCCAAGAAGCAACAAACAATTTTGATGAGAGCTGGGTGATTGGAGTCGGAGGTTTTGGGAAAGTCTACAAGGGTGCCTTGAGGGATGACACAAAGGTTGCAGTGAAGCGAGGAAACCCCAAGTCCCAGCAAGGTCTCAATGAGTTCCGGACAGAGATCGAGCTCCTTTCACGTCTGCGTCACCGCCACCTGGTGTCTCTTATTGGGTACTGTGATGAAAGGAATGAGATGATCTTGGTCTATGAGTACATGGAGAACGGAACCGTCAAGAGCCACCTGTATGGTTCAGACAACCCCTCACTCAACTGGAAGCAACGCCTGGAGATCTGCATTGGAGCAGCAAGGGGGCTACACTATCTTCATACAGGTTCTGCGAAGGCCATTATCCACCGTGATGTCAAGTCTGCAAACATCTTGCTTGATGAAAATCTCCTTGCCAAAGTCGCCGACTTTGGGCTGTCAAAGACCGGGCCTGAGCTGGATCAGACTCATGTCAGCACTGCAGTGAAGGGTAGCTTTGGTTACCTTGACCCTGAATACTTCCGAAGGCAGCAGCTGACTGAGAAGTCGGACGTCTACTCCTTCGGTGTTGTCATGCTGGAGGTGCTCTGCGCGAGGCCGGTGATCGACCCTTCGCTCCCGAGGGAAATGGTGAACTTGGCAGAGTGGGGAATGAAGTGGCAGAAGAGAGGAGAGCTGCACCAGATCGTCGACCAGAAGCTTTCCGGCGCGATCAGGCCGGACTCTCTGAGGAAGTTCGGTGAGACGGTGGAGAAGTGCCTGGCAGACTACGGCGTGGAGCGGCCGTCGATGGGGGACGTCCTCTGGAACTTGGAGTATGTCCTGCAGCTCCAGGATGTGGATTCTTCGACCGTGTCGGACGTGAACAGCATGAACCGGATCGTCGACCTGTCGTCGCAGGTTCAACATGTGGGTGCCATGGAGAGCATCAGCGTGACGATGGCGGAGGACGGAGCTTTGCACGAGCCTGACCACGACCTCTCCGACGTGTCGATGAGCAGGGTTTTCTCACAGCTGATCAAAGCCGAGGGGAGGTGAAAACGCGCCGGATGATGTGTAGGGTACCGGTAGAGGTGTGAGCAAGCCTTGGATTTTTCTTTTCTTGTTGAAGTTTACCTGAGATGTGTCACGTGTAATTGGTTGTTTCATCCCTTGTAATTGTACTGAACTACGGTTTGGATTTCTGATGGCCTTACCTCACCCACTTCTGGGGGCACACGATTTATCAGATATAGGTATCTTCTTGTATGGAATCTATTCGGCTCTAGCCATATTTATGTACTGATGATGATGATCAGGCTAAACGCTGGATTCTAGAACTGGTGCACTCTCTTCTCTTGTGGCATTAACAAAATTATCATGCTGGGTAGCAGCCAATGTGTGCAATCTTCCGCTGTTTAGCGACAAATTCTCAAGATATGAAGCTAGGAGGCCGGGTCGTTCGAAACAAATCGAGAGGAGTTGCCCACATCCAGCGGATGCTCAGCGCATTTATTTTTTGTGTTCCCACTGGTTTGCAGACCAAAAAGTTTGCACTCACGTAGCAGGATCGCACGCGAGAGAAACAGCTGCTGCCGCCGCCTAGGGTTCATCCCAAGCCTCCATCTCCGCCCCCCTCTCTTTTGTCTGGCGGCTACGTCAGCAGCTAGAGGAGTAGGGGCCGGCCTCTTCGTTTTTTTTCTTTGTTTTTTTTCAGTGGCAAGGTGACGACGACGATGTTACAATAAGGTCTTTTTGGTCTATTCATATCTACGGTTGTCAATGGAGGGCCTATGTTTGAAGGGCTGCCCCTCCTCGCATATTTGTAGGTGCAAGGGACATCGCTAGCTTTGATGAGACGATCCTCCTACTTGGGCCGCCTGCACCAAGGGGTGCACCCCCTCCAGAAAACCCGAGCCTCCCCCTTCGCTTGCCCCTAAAGGGAAGTGGGGAGCGCCCCACTTTTGGCCACCTTGGCCAATGTGGATGCCCCCACTTGGCCTAGCTAATGGGGATGCCTTCACTTGGGCCTAGCCAATGGAGCCTCTCAGAACTTTTCGGAAGGTTCTGAAATATTTCGAAACCTTCTTGGACATTCCGATGCCATTTTAGGTCCTCTGAGACTTTTCTGATTTTTTTGAAACCTTTTCATTTCTCTTCAAATTTCTTTCGGTTTTCTCTCTAAAACATTTTTGATCTTTTCATAACTTTTTCGGGGTAATTCTCTTGTGCTCCTAACACTTACAACACTCAACAAATCGACGACCCTTAAGAGTGTGACCCTCGCTAATGTGCAAACATGACTAAAACACTATTCGGTCAATAACCAATAGCGGGATGTGGGCATCCAGATTGACTCCTACACATACACAAGTATATCAAGCGAACCGTTTTGTTTGTGTACACAGTTCCCTTTGCTTTGTGATACTTAACAAAACCGGAGGCGAGGTTTTATCGGTATCCTTGTGAAGCAACAACTTGATCTTTTTCTCGTTACTTGTTTTGTTCTTTTCTTGTTTTCTTATTCTGATATCTCGTTGACAATATCACGATGTGTTTGGCTAGAAGATAATGAATACTATAATACCGACTGGACTTGAAGAGTATCTTTCCACCATCGGAGGAGAAAATCCCAATCTTGAACTATCGAGTCTCTAGAGATACTTCTTCGATGTACCCAAAAGTTGTCATTCTAGTAACCCTGTTATGGGTAACGTTTGACAAACCCCAAAGTATACTGTCAGGCATGAAGATACTCAATATTCTCATGGTCTAAGGACGCGAGTTATGCTAACATTTGATATGATAATACTGATAACATATAGACAATGTGATCTCATAGTATATTATTTAGTTGGGTCTATCCAACACCATTCTTCTATTAACAACGTGCTCTTTAACAATGTCCTATGGAACATATGAGCTAGTCCTAGAGGCGTGACTAGAGAACTGTTTGGTTTTATGCTTGCACACGTGTAAACGGGATTTCCTTTGAATCTCATATTCAAGGACCATCGCAGTTATAACACAGAAACACAAACATTAATTATGAACTGGAAATAAACAATACTTTATTATTCCCTCTAGGGCATACTTCATTATTTGCCCCTGTCTCATGGCCAGGGAGAAAGCTCAAGCCGCATGCCCCCCACAAAATCGCCTCCATCGCCTCTCGATGCCCCTGCCTTTATATTTGCCTGAAAGTCCTACTCGTGTTTATCAAGTAATTTTTCTATGCGCACCTCTTTGTTCTGTGAAGATCCAATTTGGAGGTCTATTTCGGTACTCTGGCGGATGGGGAATCCATCTCTGTAGCTATCTTTGTCATTCTTGTTGTCATCATGACCATGTGTGAGTAGTCCCTTTGGACTATGGGTACATAGTAGTAGCTAGATGGCATCTTCTCTTGTTCTTCAATACAAAGCTTTCATGAGATGCCATATATGTTTGAGATCAATCCGATCGATGTAATTCTCAGTGTGTTTGTTGTGGTGTGATGATTTGTCACTTTATTACCAGATCCATTCATGAATTATTTTGAGATTCCTTTGGTTTCGTTGTTGCATGCTTCTTATACAATGCTCCCCGGTCTATTAGTCTTGCACTGCCCATCTTTTGATGAACGATCTTCAAGAGGGAGTTTGTGTATGTTGGTTGGCTTCACTCTTGTAAGTAATCTATCGTAGTGACAAAGACTTGTATCGTGTTGTTGCCACTAAGGATAAAATAGAGTTGTGTAGTTGTCCCGTCGATGAACGAAGGTTGAAGACAATATGCTATCAACATTATGTCACCTTACTTAATGCAATGATTCTTTTTATTTAATATTTTGTCATGTATGCTGGATAACGGTCTTGGGGTGGAATTAGCTATAGATGCAGTTGGATAATGGTTTATAGATATAAGAACATAACGGGTATATGCAATTTCCATGAATAATCATAATCATAGTAACTGCAATTTAATCGATACACAACTATAATTTTCTCATCACACCCATGCCTTTTTGTTTGGGGAAATGCCTCTAATGAAACTATGGATCCCAGTCCATTCATCCCTATTGCTTTTAACCTCGTTCAGTTTACTTTTATTACCATCTACAATCTAGCTAATTACTTTATTTATGTACAATGATCAATTCCCATCACACCGTACAACCTAATCCTTGTAATTAGCAAGATAGAAGGATTTACAATCTCCCCGGCAAAGTTGGGGACAAGAATAAGTTGGTTAATTGTCTGTAGGTGTTGGTCATTAACCGAAGGCCAATAGGTCCTATTGGTTCGATAAATCTTGGTTCTGAACTGAGAGAAATACTTGCTTAATGGACTACATCACTCATTCCACTTGGGGTCCCAACAACTTCTGTGGAACTAACAAGCCAACTCCCGGATCTGTTGCCGGGGAACTTTGGCCTTCGGAATTGCAAAATAGTTTCCGTCAACTTGCCATAAAGCCATTTTTTCGCACCATTGCCGGGGAACTATTTGCTTTAGTTCTAGGTCTTATATTCCATTACTTTACTTCCTTATTGTTTATCTAGTTAGTTACTATTTATTTATCGTTAGTTGTTTTTCATATTTTTTTTCAAAAAAAAACACCAGAAACGTTGAAACTTCAGCATGCTGGTTTTCTTTAGAGTATCAACCTGATTGACAAAAAGGAAATGGTAACTTCTGAACTTTTCAAAACCTATAAACTATTTTGTGAACCAATAGCTAATAATGAAAAAAGGTAAAGTAGAAAAGGTTATTGGGTTATGCCCATCAAATGTTAAGTGTGACCGAAATATACGTGATAAGGTTTATGATTCAAGTGATTCCTACTAAGCTTCATGGTTTCTTGGGGCTAACTAGGTATTACCGCAAGTTCATCAAGAATTATGAATTACTCACAAAGTTGTTGACTGCACTATGGTCAAAGATAGGTTTCAATTGGACAAAACAAGCAACACCGACATTTGACACTCTGAAACATGCTATGACTAAAACTCCTCCTTACCAGATTTCACTCAACTATTAGCTGTGGAAATAGATGCTTCCGATTCCGGTATTAGGGCAGTGCTATCTCAGCATGGACATCCAGTCGCCTACTTAAGTAAAGCCGTGGGTGTAGCAAATCAAAAGCTCTATTTCAGAGTGTGAGCGCCATCTATGGCCTTACACGGAGGAACACTTTGTAAACAGAGTGCTCTGAACACTTTCATCGGAGCCCAGCCATTAGCAAAAACCGGAGAAACGCGGATCCTCGGTGTCCTGGAGCAAGGACCAGAGGTCCAGAAATTCAGGCCTCTTTTGGTTCATAGGATAGGAAAAATCATAGGAATAGAAAAGTCATAGAAACTAGAAAATCCATTTTACTACCCTGAAGAAAGTTGGTGGTTCACATAACCCCCTGATCTTTATTTCTGCTCCCTTCACCCCCTAAACAATACCGTGCCAGACAAAGTCAGTCCCTCGATGGTTTGACTTGACAGATTGCTGACGTGACAATGGTCAATGAGCGATTTTGACCTGCGGCTGGGTCTCCCTCGTTAGGCTGGGCTGAGACAAAAGATCTCCTCCCGAGCCTCCCCTCATAGCTTCCTACCTCCCCGAGCACCGCGCCGACCACGCTATCTCTGGCTGACGCCGGAGTTCCAAGCTACCGCCCCAAGCACCCTTCTTCTTCTTCCTACCTTCTCTTTCATGTCCTTCTCTCTTCTCTCACCCAAAATCTCCCTCATATCTCTCTCAGGGCCATCTTCACACTGTCGTCGGACTCCGAATCCGACCGGAACAAGACCAGATGGGGTCACCACCCTCGGATCTGGCCGCCCCCTCATGCTCCCCCTCTACCGGCATCGTTGTAGCACCGCCGCCGCTGCCCTGCTACCTCCTATGCGAGGACTGGGACGACCATGTCCGACAGTTGGGCCGTCGCCACCACAAGCTTGCCACTGTGCCGTCTTTACACCCTGCCGGACTCTGGATCTGGTTGGATGGGATCGCCACACCTTGATCTGACTGCCCCCATGCCTCCCTGCATCGCCCGTATCACTTCAGCCCTGTGCCGTTACC